GGGGAGGGGGGAGAGAGGAAGAGACCTTTCCCTTCCCCCGGGACCCTGTTCACCCACTCTCGCAGAGAGAGATCCTTCCCGGAACTTTGCTGCCCCCACTCATCCTTGGGGAGTGGCTCTTGTGCCCCTGGCTTAATTTTCTAGTGGGGGGGGTTGCCTGGGGGGCCCTGGTGCCCCCCATTCTGTCCTGTGGCAGATGTTGCAGTTGATAAAGAATAGGGCTTCCCTGTAGGGCCCCCTCTGAAAAAAAGCATCATTGTAATTTCTGATCCAGTTGTCACACAGCCCTCTGGAAGACTCTCCCATTGCTTTGTAGTCGGGGGTGTTGCCTGGGCCTTGCCTGTATGTATCCCACCCACAGTATCCCATTGCTGTTCCCCAGGAGATGCTGAGATGTGCCTAGTCTCCTAGGCTGTGTTACAGCCAAGGGGGCTATGATTATCTCTGGTTTATGCCAGTTGATTGTAGGCCTAGAACTTCTGGCAATTTGCCAAGGCTTCTGGCAACAGCACAGTGGTGGGGCCTCCCCATCTTCTTCTTCGCTCTGGCTGCTGGGGGCTCATGCTGCTTCCTTAGCTGTGGTTGCTCACTGGGAAGTGTGGAGGTTAGGTATAGACTGCAGTCCCAATTCCAGCTGTGTTTAGGTGAGATTAAGCAATGTTCGTGTTCCCTGCCCATGTAATGTCATTTGAGACATGAAACTGAGATCCTAGTCAGCATAGGAAAAATTCTATGCTGCTTATAAGATAAGTTGCAAGAGTTGAAGTGTTAACTTTGGTGTCCAGGACTGATTCCAAGTGTAATTACAGTCTACCTCCCTAAAGTCCCTGTGTATTTTCAGTTGACTACAGAATTCTTCACATCTTGTGCTAAACAATTGTGTATCATAGCTGTGTATTGTCAGGTGGTTGCCATGATCCGCTTCAGAAGTGACTGCTTTCCGAGAGTAGATTCAATTGTATATGGACTGAAATGCATTTGGTCCTCTTGGGATGAAAGATGCTATGTTTGGCTGGTGTTTACCTTTTCATCTGAGTGTGATTTAGCTGTTTGCTACAAAGTAGCTTCAGCTGCTTATAGGCTGAGGACTTGAATCATTCCTGCTACAGCTGTATTGAGAAAAGGTTTTTTCCAGTCTGATTGCGAAGTTAGCACTCTCCTGTGTGTACTGCTGTGAACAACAACCTGTTGTGGTCTATAGCAGTTTCTTATGTTTGTAACTACAGTACTTGGTGTGGCTGCAAACTGTGTACAGTTTGCATTAGGTTGTTGCTAAGTCTTAAACTGTTGACAGGAGTTCCAAGGCCTAGTGTGGACAGGCAGATACTGTCTAATATCCTGTGGTTTGGAATACTGAGGGACGACCACTTGATTCTAGAGAACTTTGAAGGCTGGTTTACAGCTTTAATTTGATCGGGGTCTCCATACTCTTCAGAGTTAAACCTATTTGGTTACAGAGCTAAACATCTGAGGGATATAAAGTGAAGGTATAAAGATAGATAAGAAACAGGTGATTCAAGAAGGCTCTTCCAGTTGGCATGAGCTGCAGAAGAGAGCTTTTATGGGGGTTGGGGTGTGTGTGTGTGTGTGTGTGATCTGGGAGGAGGGTCCATGAGGCTGCTGGGGCTATGCAATGAGGGGTTTTACATACTCTCCCTATGAAAAGCATGTTATTGAGTAACGATTCCTGATGCAAGGCAGATGCTATGAACTAAAGGTGAGGACACAACAGGAGCCTGCAAAGAAGACTTGAGCAACTAGAACTCTGGGCATTTGTATACAGGGAATTCTTCTCCAGCTGTAGTGCAGGCTTATATCCCGCTGCATGAAGTGTGTACAGCTCTTCTATGGTGGATTAATTGTTTTATTTGTTTTTCTTTTAGGAGCGAGGTGGAAACAATTCTTTTAACCATGAAGCTCTTACACTTAAATACAAACTGGACAATCAGTTTGAGCTTGTGTTTGTGGTAAGTAAACTATGTTAACAGCCCCTCCTCTCTGCCGAGGTGTTTGGGGCAGGTTTATAGGGCTCTGTGTCTTCCTGGAATGACATAAAACCCCTAATAAGCTATATTGGTGTATTAATAAACAGATACTTATTAGAACATCTTAAACTCAAGACACTGCGCATGGCTGAAAAAGCCTCTGTTCAGAGCAACTGTCCAGTCTTGCTTCATGACCTTGAGTCAGTTACTATCACAGATGCAACAATGAAGCACAATGTGACGTAACTCGGATATCTACCTCCAAGTGCAGAGCCTTTGAGGTGAAATTAACATATGAAAGATATTTTGAAATCCTTAGATAAAATGTGCTCTACAAGGTGTATTTCATTTTTAAAATAGTGATAGGCTATTGTGATTCCAGAACAGCCATTTGTTACTGAGCAATAATAGGGTGTATGGTTTGTTATAATATTGACCAAGGACTCCCGGCTGCTATTGTAGTGAGATGACTTGTCCAATTTACTTGTGAAGTTGAATTGAATCGCCCAGGTTTAACAGGGTACGTTAGAACGATCCATACACGACTCAGTGGCCAATTGTAACTGGTACTCCAGTTGCATTTTGGGGTTGCTTCTGGTCCATTATGTATAATGGAGGTGCCATTGGTGAGTGGGTTTAGGAGCCATGGCACTAGAGAGCACTGAGATGTCATCTTTGTGTGGGTGGCTGGTATAATTCTAGTGGTGATTCTAACAACCCTTTCAAGTAAGGCTCAGTCGACAAAAATCTCTCTGAAATCTAAAAATCTGGGATTTTTACTACAGGAAGCGGCCTGGGGTGAAATCCTGGCCCTACTGAAGTCGGTGGCAAATCTCCCATTGACTTCATTGGGGTTGAGAATTTAT